ATAAAATTAGATTAGTTTATATTTACCAATATATTATTATATTCTTCTTTTGAAAATTTAAATAAATTCAAAATATCACTACTCTTGATATATCTTTGTTTTGGTTTAAAGATATTTTCAATTGGAGTTGAAGTTGGAATTATAAAAGTTGGAGTTGGAGTTGAAGTTGCTGAAGCAAGAGTATCTTCTAATTGTGCTAACTTTTATTGATAAAGTTTAATTTGTTCTTGAGTCGCATGTGACTTTCATAATATAATTATATTATGAAAGTCACATGCGACTTGGGTTAGGTTATGAAGGTAACTTCATATTCTGCTGGTAACTTCATAATATAATGGTAACTTCATGACATAATAGTAACTTCATAGTCTGCTAGTAACTTCATAATATGATGTGATTTTATAATCTAAATTCATGATCTGGTAGTAACTTCATAACCTAACTGCTTTCTTCTTATTCCTGATTCGTTTACATGTTAAATTCTATATTGTTGGTATTGGCTTTTCATCCTTGTTTGAATGTCTGGTTTCATGTTGAGGATACTGGCCTTCTGCATCTGACTGAGTGCTAGATTACATATTGATATGCTTATCTTTTGCGTCTATTTGGTTGTCTTTTAAAATACTGAAATGGTATAAAAAAAGAGGTAATGGTGGCGCAGTAAATTTGCGATTAATTTTGCTCAGCTCTATGGTATAACTCTGTCTGATCTTTTGGGCATGTAATTTTAGGTCCCAGCTTGATAATATGATAGCGCTATGATAATGTCATGAAACCGTCATAGAACTGTTGAAGAACTGATAGAGAACTGGCAGGGTGTCTGAGAGGTTTCATTTATTCACCAGTTTCAGTCCACTTATATGCCAACTTGGATGCCAAGTTATTACGCCCAAAGTTTTGGCTGAAATTATGGAATAGTGTTGGCTAATATTATTGTTAATTTACTGCGTCTTTTTTGTATGCGTATCACAATAATCATATTTGGATTTTGTTGTCTCACCGCATTCTTTGCAAAAAACCTGCCTAGAATTTCGGCCAAAGTAAGGCATAATCTTTTTGCTATATTATTAGAAGATCTATATGTCAAATTTTTGTGAGCTGGCCCTCCTGTCCCTAGAGAAATTTTTCAGGAAAGACAGAAGGGAAGACAGGTTTGCTATCTTTTTTGAGATTGTTAGGCTATTTTATTTCTTTCTTGATTAGTGTCCCTACTGTCCGTAGTAAAGTAGTAATTTCTAAAAAAAAAAAAATCGTAATTTCCTATGGTATATATATATATGATATGTGTATATAGTATATATATGATATATGTATATAGTACATATCTATACCTATAGGTAAAAAAAAAAATAAAAAGATAAGAGTTTTGATTTTTACTAAGGCGAGTAAGGACAGGAGGGACACACATCCTAGAAGGTTTTCCAGAAATTTAAAAGCGTTAAAACTGATAACATAGTTGTCCTTCCTGATTATCCTCAGAAAAATTTCACTATGGACAATAGGGCAATTTTCTAGGGACAACTTTCTAAGGCCAACACTCTATTGCATCGGGTATTTTTATCCTATCGAGAGCCTGTCTCATTGCCTCTGGGGTCTGAAAGTTCTGAAACATCTTATCCAACTTTTTTTGATGATAATATGCGTTTGAATGGTACTTTTTTACATGCCAATCACAAAATCCATATTCAGAAGCCATCAGTCTTTCACACCTATCTTGTTTGCATGAAGATCGCTAGCGTCTTTTTTCGGTGAATGCAACATCCTTCTTGTTTCCTACTTTCCCGCTCACAAATCTCCCTTCATTGGAATGATACTGGCAAATATATTTACCGTCCATTGATATTATTCTTAGATAAATAACACTTTGATATCTATAATTATTTATTTTTATTTTAAACTTTTTTACTAGGATATTATACTATTTCAGTATACTAGATAACATAACTAAAAATTTTTATCATAACCCAATCAGAGTTCCTCAATGTTCCTGCCACACTTTTTCATTCAGAGACTGAAAAAGATAAAATGGAAGGCTAACAGTTTCATTATTCTGGTGAAAAAAACTTGTCAGACATCTAAACACTGGATGATATAGTTGCAAGAAATAATGAGGGATTATCTTCAATTCTCAAAGATACTTTATCTAAACGACAAGAAATTCTATTCATGGCCATTGAGAATGAAGGATCAACAGAAAGGATAAATAGAACGTACTGCTATGTATTGCATCTTTATAGTCGTCTTATTAATGGCCAAAAGGTACTGGTAACTTTTATAGACATTCAGGTTTTCTTTGACATTCTCGTACTAGATGGAGAGACTCCAGATAAATGCGAAGAAAAAGTAAACAAAATTCTCTCTTGCATTGTAAAATCATATAAAATAGAACACATTAAAGTATTTATCATACTAAAAAAAAGTCATATTTACGAATTTATACGAATAGTACTGGAGAGAAAAAGAAAGCCATCCAAGCTATCCAAGAAAATAATTTCGAAACTGCTTCAGATGATTTATACTCATTCCACTGAAAGGTAGCTCGAAAAAATGGAATCCAACTCTCTGGATGGTCTACAATAAACAAATATATACGTAAGAAAGGTAAGCAGACCAACCCACTTTATCCGCACGAGTTCTTCGTGTCTATAAAAGATTTCTGTTCACTAGAGGATTTCACAATAATAAGTGATTGATTCCCCATTTCAGCTCTCTTACGAGATCGCACTCTTATCCTTACATGGAATATAGAAACATATGCCTCACAAATAGGAGAATTTGCAGAAGTTCTTGAACAAAAAAACAAGGTCTTTATGATTGGT